TACCGTGAGCACACAGCTCTCCTCCCAGACCATCAGACCCCAGTGGTGAACGCCCTTCTAGGGAGGGGGTGGCCGGGCTGACTGCCCTGTAGGATCCTTGGGAAGGGACAGAGTTCGGGAAGCATGAAAACAGAAAATCCGGGCCGGGTATGGTGGCTCACACCTGCAATCCCGCACTTTGGGAGGCTGAGGCGGGAGGATCACCTCAGCCCAAGAGTTGAAGACCAGCCTGGGCAACACAGCGAGACCTCATCTCTACAAAAAGTCAAAAAACTAGCCAGGTGTGGTGGCACACACCTGTCGTCCCAGCCACTCGGGAGGCTGAGGCAGGAGGATCACATGAGCCCAGGAGGCCGAGGCTGCGGTGAGCCGTGATCGTGCCCCTGCCCTCCAGCCTGGGCGAAAGAGACTAGGAACAACACAGGAGCAGCTCCAACCTCCCTCTGTCCCTCCTGGCCCTGCTCTGGGATTTGGGACTTGGCCCGAGCGGGACCCTGGCTAGCTGCCTCTGGGAGCGGGGGGCCGGAGCCAGGAGGGCTTCCAGCCGTCTCAGTTCCTCAACAAAATCACAAACAAACATTGTTGCCTGGAAACACGGCCTCACCCTGGCATCCCTGGCTGAATCGTGGGACGGAGCCCCCAGATGCTCTCTGGCCCCGTCACCTGTCCAGTCCTCTCATTCCTCAGATGGGAAGACTGAGGCCTGGGGTGGGGGAAGGGTCTTGCTCAAGATCCCTGAGCGGGTGGGGGTGGCGCCTTGAGGGGATGGGCCCCAGACCTTCTGCCGCCTGGTCCCACACACCACCCAGCCCAAGGCTTAGAGCACGCTGGCCCAGGAAGCCGCTCTATTAACACCGTCAATTTCAATCTTGAATTCACAATGCGGACGTGCTTTCCAGAAACAACAGCCCCACAGGAAAGATGTCCCGAGGACCACTGCCCACCCCGACTTCACCGCTGACTCGGGACTGTGCCCGGGGAATGAGGAGCGTCCTGCAGAGATGTCCTGACAGCCCCACTCACTCCTGCCAAGAACTGGCGGCCACGCGCGTGTCCCACAGAGAAGCTGCTGAGGTTGGGGGAGCCCGGCACCCCACACTGTGACTTGTCCTCTAAAAGGAAAAGCCGGTGACATGGCCGGGAGCAATCAGGAAAATGGGCGAAAGAGGGCAGAACACAAGGCCCGAAGATTAACCCTGCAGCAGCATCGCTGTGGACATGAGCCCGAAGAAGGGCGGAGATGCAGGGAACACGGGGGACGTGAGGGACGCGGGGAACATGGGTGGTCTAGGACGTCAGGGCTTCTCAAGCTCCTGGTGTGTTTTCTCCCCACCATGGCTTTCTGATTCGGGGTTGAAGACGCCTAAGAGTTCGGAACATTCCCCAGACCCTCCAGAGAGAGGCTGGACCTTGGCCCAGAAGCCTCCTGTGTGTGTGTGTGTGTGTATGTGTGTGTGTGTGTGTGTGTGTGTGTCTGTGTACTGGTGTCTGTGTGTGAGTCTGTGTCTGATGATGTCTGGTCTGTGTGTCTGTGGGTGCTGGTGTCCGTGTGTGCCCTCGTGCCCCATTTCTCCCCCGTGGACTCAATGCGGTGCCATCGCCCACCCTCCAGGGCGGCTGGCAGGAGCGGAAGGCCACCCCTGGCCAGGCGAGGATGGAGGAGGCCTCAGAGCTCAGCACATCGTGGCTCCCAACCCCGAGGACCCCACGGAACTGGGGGGGCAGGATTCGTCCCACCCCAAGGAGTGAGGAGGCTGCCCAGGCGCAGGAGCTGTGAACTTGAGGCAGCTCCCAAGGGGCAGGAGCTTGAGGCCTGGTGGAGAGTAGGGGTCTTGGGGTTGGGGGGCATGGAACGCAGCGTGGGGGGTGTGGAGCTTGGTTGGGGGGCACGTGGAGAGCAGCTGAGAGCCTCAAGGAGTGGAGCGAGGCTGGTGGGGGACGCCTCTCATCAAGGGGAGGGAGCTGGATTCAGGAGGCAGAGAAGCAAGTTCTAGGCGGGCACAATGGCTCATGCCTGTCATCCCAGCACTTTGGGAGGCAGAGGTGAGAGGACTGCCTGAGCTCAGGGGTTCGAGACCAACATGGACAACTTGGCAAGACCTCGTCTCTACAATAAATCAAAAAATCAATTAGGCATGGTGGCGCACACCTGCAGTTCCAGCTGCTTGGAAGGCTGAGGTGGAAGGATCGCCAGAGCCCAGCAGGTCGAGGCTGCGGTGGCCGGGAGTGTGCCACTGCAGTCCAACCTGGGGGACAGAGTGAGACTCCAACTCAAAAAAAAAAAAAGCTCTCCAGCCTCCAGAACAGCAGCTTTCAGGCCGAACTTTGGGACTCCCTTGGAGAAGGAAGAGGAGGATGCGGGGGAGGAAAGAAGAGGGAGGGTGAGTGAAAGAAGGGTGGGAGAGGAGGAGGAGGAAAAGGGAGGAGGAAGGCAAGCAGGAAGGAGCAGGAGAGGGGAGCGGATAGACAGCAAGGCTTGGTGTGTGTCCACGGGGCTTCGGAAGTCTCTATTTTTTGGTGGAATCACAGGGGAACCAAAGGGAGCTGTGTGTGTGTGTGTGTGTGTGTGTGTGTCTGAGGGACAGTTTCATTCTGTGTGAGGACATTGTCCATGCAGGCAGGGAGGCCCAAAGAACTAGGAAGTCCAGAGCCTGTGAATGAAGCTTAAAGGACAATACAAAGTGAGGTTATTCACAGTCACCAAAAGGTGGAAGCAACCCCAGCACCCAGTCACTGATCCACTGCACAGCAGAGTACTATTCAGCCCTGAAAAGGAATAAAGCTCAGATCCAGGCTACACGCTGATGAACCTGGAAACATTATGTGAGGAGAGAGAAGCCAGATACAAAAGGCTGCAAACGATTCCATTTATAAGAAATGTCTTGGTCAGGCACGGTGGCTCACACCTGTAATCCCAACACTTTGGGAGGCCAAGGCAGGAGGAGCCCAGAAGTTTAAAACCAGCTTGGGCAATATAGCAAGACTTCGTCTCTACAAAAAAAAAAAAAAAACAAACTAGTTGGGCATGGTGGTGTGCACCTGCAGTCCCAGCTACTCAGGAGGCTGAGGCAGAAGGCTCACCTGAGCCCTGGCAACGGAGGCTGCGGTGAGCCATGACCATGCCACTGCACTCCAGCCTGGGCGACAGAGTGAGACTTCGACTCAAAAAGAAATAAATAAAATAAATGCCTAGAATAGATAAATCCAAAGAGATAGAAAACCGATTCATGGTTGCCAGGAGCCGGGCAGGGATGAGGCAGGGATGGGGGTGAGGGGCGGGGAAGTTGTCAAGAGGCCTGGAGTTTTCTGGAGGGACGATAGAAATGTTCTAAAACTCATTGTGGTGACAGGTAAACAACTCTAAATATGCAAAAAAAAGTCAAATTGTACACTTTGAATAAGTCAATGATCCAGCACAGGAATTACATCTCAACAAAACTGCTAAATTCGGCTGGGCATGGTGGCTCACACCTGTAATCCCAGCAATTTGGGAGACCGAGGCAGGAGGATGACTTGAGCTCAGGAATCCGAGACCAGCCTGGGCAACATAGCAAGATCCCGACTCTGTATTTTTTAAAAGCTGTCCTATGTTAAAAGTGGCTGAGAACTGAGTGAGCTCCCAGATGTGGTAACTTTCTAGAAGCTGGAAATGACGCCTTAGTTTGTGACTCGCAGCTGTAGGACAAGACTATCAAAGGGGCTGATTTTTCAGCACATCCACTCGCTAAGCACTGCACATCCATCATCAGACCCCGAGGGCGCTATCTAAGCAACCTCCACTCTGCAGATGGACTCACACACGGACCAAGGGGGGCCAGTGGCCACCCGAGGTCACACGCCTCAGAAGGGGCCCGCCGGACCCACACTCAGGTCCGATGGACTCCGGGGCCTGCGTGCACTCGGTCCCACCCATCCCCCAAGCGCATGTTTTCTCTTCGCTTAGATAAACTCCCAGGATCCCATAACTCTCAAGAGGAAAAACCGCACGCCATCAAGAAGTGAAGAGGGCAAGCAGAGCGAACAGACCAGAACTCTCGGGTTGCAACAGCGGCCGCCTGTGGATTTACAGCTCCCGGCTGACCCATTAACGCACCCCAGCGAGGAGGGGCCACCAAAGGGAACGTGGTTCCCGGCTGCAGCAAGAAGCCATAAATAAACACGCGCCCTGCCGGCCACCGGCACCGCCCTGCGAGGCACTAGGACCAGGCCTTCTGGGGGAGACAAGGGCGCCCTCCTGCCCACTCCACCACGCCCCCACCCCAAGGACGCCATCCATGGCCAGCACCCTGCGCTCCGGCCACTTTCAGGGTGCCTGGCTGCAAGGCTTGGCAGGGCTCGGCGAACAGATGTTCTGAGACGCAGGCACATGTGTGGGGGTCCGTGGGGGGGCATTACAGAGCAGCTGCCCCGAGACCTTCTTGGCCTGGGACATCTCAAAGACCTCGCCAGGGCTGATGTCACTGTTAGGAGCCACAGTGTCCCCCAGGGTCAAGGACCCCAGGAGTTTCAAGGCGTTCCTGTTGGCTGGAACCAGCATCCCGCAACACCTCCTCCTGGGGGTCCCACCTGGCTTTGAAGGACGCCCAAGCCAGCCTCCCCTCTGTCCGCCCACTCCCAGGATCCGACAGGGTGCGGCTGAGTCAGAAAACCCGGCCGCTGGACACCTGGTCTGCAGAGCAGACATGGCAACGGCACGTGTCATGGCGGACGCTCAGTCCCAGCCACAGCCTTGCTCTTTCCTAGCCTGAGATCAGTTCCAATTGCAGCGACCAGCGGTCAGCTCTGTGCGTGTCATTCCAAGGGGACGTCTCATCCTGGGCTTCCGTGCACCCTCTAGAGGTCCCTTCAGAAGCTCTGGGGACCTGTGGGCAACGGCCCTGTGTGCAGGGATCCAGGAGCACCCCCGGGGGAGGGTCTACAGCGTCCGAGACACCCGCTGGGTCACTGGGCACCTTGGGCCTGTTTCCTTCCAACCCTAAGCTCCATGGGGTGAGGGTTACCTGTCGGTGATGGGCAGCACAGGGCGGGAGTCCTTTGTCCAGGTAACCAGAGGGGGTGGGGAGCCTTGGGCCTCGCAGTCCAAGGTCACCTCTTCGCCAGCCTTCACCGTGACTCTCAGAGGCCCGTCTGTATCACATGACCCGTTCGCCTGAATCCTGGGTGTAGCTGTTGGGGGCACAGGCAGGACGGGGGCAATGGGGTGGGGGCTGGGAAGGCCTCGGGCCATGGGACAGCTCCCCCAGGAAGCAGAGGTGGGACTGCAACCTTGACCTTCATGGGACCCAGGAGGTGGGTGTGGTTTGTCATGACCAGGAGTGTCCAGTTTCCGGGCAAGGGCTCAGATCCCCGAGGGTTTTTGCTCAACTCTTCCCCTCTCCACTCTCCACTGCCACCCTCTTCCTGGAAGCCTGTCTGGCTTTGATGACCCTGACCCGGTTCCTCCTGCCGTAACCTCTGGGCCTCCTCTGATTTATCTCAGTCCTGCTGGCCTCTCCCAAGGGACATGCCAGCAGGCTCGGAACTCTTCCTCTTCTCTAGTTTCTTCTTTGATCATCTTACTTATTCTCATTGTGTTAGCCACCAGAAGATGCCTGACCAAGGATTTAGAGCATCTGTGCATGTCTCCTCTCACATAAAGCTGGAGACTCCTTGGTGGCAGAGACGGCATCGAACCCTTCCTTCCCTCCCGCCCCCCGTTGCTAGCCCCGCACTCATACATGGAGGACATCCCTACACATCTGAGAAGCAATCATGAAACAGGCCAGCCAGTCGGGACATCAAAACCCACCCAGTCCTTGCTTGGTCTCCCACAGGTCATTAGTTCCCAAAGAAAATAATCTCCTCCTAAAAAATCTTTTTATAATATAATATTGACTGTGGCTGGGTGTGGTGGCTCCTGCCTGTAATGCCAGGACTTTGGGAAGCTGAGGTGGGAGGATCACTTGAGGCCAGGAGTCTGAGACCAGCCTGAGCAACAGAGAGACACTCATCCCCCAAAGGAAAAAAAAAGGATAAAAATAATGGCTGGAAGAGTCTATGACAGAAAAAGGCCACATATACATTTGCTCACTCGTTTCATAAACTCTCTGAGTGGCAGCCCTGAGGGGAATAAATGCCGGGAAACAGCAGCAAAGGAGACAGGTCCTGCCCCGTCCTCATAACATTCAGGGTTCATAGGGAACCGAAAAGCTCCCTATGCAATTATCTAAACAGCTGGGCAGGGTGGCTCACGCCTGTTGGGAGGCTGAGGTAGGAGGATCGCTCGAGCGATTCTTGCATTAACAAGGCTCAAGCGTCCGGTTCCAAAGGGCTAAGGTGGAACCACCCTCTGCCCCCATGCCCACAGAGCCCGTCCCCAGGGCAGGGCCCACCACCACTCACTGTTGACTGAAAGCCGCATCTCCTGGCTGGAGAAGCCCACCGTGTTGGTGGCTGTGCAGACATAAGCCCCTGCATCTCGGGCAGACGGCTGGATGATGACCAGGGTGCCGTCCCTGCTCACATTGTGGTGCAGACCCCTGGAGGTCAGGGCACTGCTTTCCTAGGGCAGACACACAGTGGCGTCGGCAAAGCCCACCTGCCCTCCATGGCGCACCAGACCTAGCTCCCCAGTTCCCCTCTCTGTAACAGGTTCTGCCTACCTTGGTCCAGGTGATGGTGGGGGTGGGAACTCCAGAGGCGACACAGGGGAGAGAGGCCGGAACCCCTTCATTGGTGACGTGGTGGGTGGCCGTGGGATGGATCCTAGGTGGCACTTTTATAAGTAAAGCAATTTCATAAGCCAGCGTTCACAGCAGCAATGATTCACAATAGCCCAAAGGTGGAAACAGTGTCCATCAACAATGAATGTAAACACAATGTGGTATGTGCATACAACAGAATATTCTTCTGCCTTCAAAAGGAGCGCAGCTGGGCGTGGTGGCTCATGCCTGTAATCCCAGCACTTTGGGAGGCTAAGGAAGGAGGACTGCTTGAGCCCAGGAGTCTGACCAATTGGGCAACACAGCTAGACCTCATCACTACAAAAAATTTTTTTAAATGAGGCAGGTTTGCTGGCTTGTGCCTGTAGTCCCAGCCACTCAGGAGGCTGAGGTGGGAGAATAGAGGCTGCCATGAGCTGTGATCATGCCACTGCACTCCCACCTGGCCAACAGAGTGAGACCCCCAACTAAAAATATACAGTCTATTTTTAAAAAGGGATACAGTTATGACACATGATACAACATGGATAAATTCTGAAAACATGCACGTGAAATAAGCCAGGCATAGGAGGGCAGATGCTGGGTGATTTCATTTATTTGATGTCCCCAGAGTAGTAGGATTCACAGAGACAGGAAGGGAAAGGGTGACTTCCCAGGGCTGAAGAGAGGGAGGAATGGGGAGTTAGTGAGTCATGGGGACAGTTTCGGTTCGGGACGACAAAAGAGTTTTAGAGATGGATGGCAGTATTGGGCACATGATAAAGTGAACTGCATGCTTTAAAATAGTTAATGCCGGGCACAGTGGCTTGTGCCTGTAATCACACCACTGTG